CAAGGCTTCTCCCCTCATTTGAGGAAAATGTCAACCATGAAAGGCAGAGACCAAACCAAACAGCAAAAAAGAACTCAGGGTTACAGAGACAGTGCAAGGAGCAGAAGAAAACAACAACAATGTCAAACACCCAATTGATTTGTATCCTCAGAGAGAAAAGAAGATACTACATTCATGGAAAAATGAGAACAAGATGTAGGGGAAAGAGAAAAAAAGAAATATGCAGCAAATAGAAAAGAAATTAAAAGGAAATTAAAAATTTAATAGAAGAGTTAGAAACTAAAGTTGAGATCACCCAGAAAATAGAGCTAAAAAACAAGAGTTATAAAATGCAAGAGGATAAAGAAAATAGACTAAAGGAAAATTAGAGAATCATTCTAGGAAGACCAGTATCTAAATACAGATGGATCCCGACTTAGCATGGTTTGACTTATGATTTTTCAACTTATGATGGTGCCAAAGGCATACACATTGATCTTTTCCCAGGCTAGTGATATGCAGTTAAGGTAATTTCTCATGATCCTGGGTGGCGGCCATGAGCTACAGCTCCCAGTCAGGCCTGTGATCACCAGGTTAAACAGTCGATACTCTACAGTGTATTGTGTTGCCATCCTTTTTTGAATATTGTGTTCTGAGCACGTTTAAGGTAGGCTAGGCTAAACTATGATGTTCAGTAGGTTTGGTGTATTAATGCATTTTCGACTTAGAATATTTTTAGTTTATGATGGGCTTTTTGGGAGGTAAATCAAGGAGCATCTGTAATTGGCATTAGGAAAAAGAGAACAGAAAAAAGTCTAAGGAAGCTTATTCTAAGAAAACTTCCCAGATCTGAAGTACATGCATCTTTGAATTGAAAAGACTCAGCGATTATCACTTCAAACAATTGAAAAGCAAAAACAACAACAAAAAAACCCAACCCAACCCCAAGACACATTGTACAATTTCTGAGCACATAAAGAGAAGCTTCTATAAGCTTCCTGAGGGGCATATAAAAGTGACTGTGAAAGACTGAGGCTCAGAATGGTGCCAGGCTTCTTAACAGCAATACTGGAAGCCAGAAGACAATGAGGGAAGGCCTTCAAAATTTGGACAGAACATATTTTTCTGTCTAGTATTATCTACTGAGTCAGTTTCAGTTATTAAGTATGGGTAAATGAAGATATTTTTACACAGTGTAAGGAATAAAAAGTGTACCTCCTATGCCCCATTCTCAGAAAACTATTGGTGGAAATACCCTACTAAAAAGAGAAGACCAGTGCAGAGGAAAAAGTGAGATCAAGGAAATGGATCCACTATGGAAGAGAGACAAGGGAATTCCCAGTATATGTTAAAGGGAAATTCTATGACCATAGTTGTATACCAGGCCTAGAGCGCAAGCAGTCCAAATTGGAACCTGATGGAGGAATACAGTAGGTATATTTTAAAGAAATAAAACAGATTTACCTGATGTATATGAATATGTTGAGAGGAAAGTTACACTTCTAGCAAGAGTTTGCAGATGAATTAGAAAACTAAGCAAATGCAAAAATGGTGCCGATATTAACTATAAGGAAAGCAAGGTTATACAAATAAGGAATTGTAATGACGATATACTTTTGGCTCAGCTGTGACTATTATTTATAGCCATAGTAAGAATGTAAACACCAACAATGGATTCAGCCTAATTTTATGATGGGAATATGAGGGTAAAGGAGATGTAACAGAGCTGAACCATTATCTTTTATAATAGGAAATCATTTTTTCTTAAAACATTTAAAAATAGCTTATAGAGACCTACTATATAGAATTTAATGAAAAATGCCAGAAGAAATAGCTGAAAAAGTTTAAGTGTGCTTGCCTCAGGGATATGAAAAATGGGAGTGTGGCGAGGGACATCTGTTTTTCTTTTGAAACTTTGACTTTTTAAGCTGTGTGCATATCTGTCTGATTTAAGAATTAAAAAAAGATACCCCTCACAGAATGCTTTTTGTACAGAATATATATACTTCTCAGGCATTCTGAGTTCCTAGGATTCTGAGAACTATTGTATATCATTTGGGGATGTAGTCTGCAGAATGCTATCTGAGTAGGTAACGATTCTAGTAATAGCAGTGATTGATGTTATCCTTAGTTATAATTATTCACTTTGTTGCAGTGCTAACAAATGAAGATTTTTAAACTCATAACAGATTAAAATATGGTACATTGTAACATCTCAGATGTGTTTAGTTTTCCTCTGTGTCAACGCTTTACATTGTGTATTGATTGCTTCATGCTTCTCTGAAGCTTTTCAGTTGAATGATGCTTCAGATGTTTATGTTTCTCACCCCCTTTTATTTAGCCTTTTAAAATACTGTCTGCTTATTACAATCCTTAAGAGTATGCAACAACTGCTCCAATAGCAATAGGTAGCACCTCGTCTTTCAATATACCTGATTATAAGGTACAATGATTAATTTGAATCTAGATGCATTCTTTTTTTAACCACCAATTTTTAAAAATCCAAAATGTTGAAGCTTGAAATGGAGATTGAATATTAAATGAATTAATCTTGTAAAAGGTTTTTCTGTGTCCCAATTAAAAGGCATATGTGGTTTGTAAAACTAGTTGTGCAGCATTCTTCACCAAATTTCTTAACCTTCCTAGGCCTCAGCTTTCCCATCTGTAAAATGAGGATAATATCTACCTCAAAATTGTGCTGATTAATTGTGTATCCTGAAAAACAAAAACTATACTTACGTCATTAACTTTTTTTAACCACCAAACAGGAGATTTTATTTTGTGTGAATTGTCAATGTGCTCTTCTATAAAAATAGAACAATAATACATCTGTGCTGCATTTAAATCCATATATACCCACAGAAGCTGTGATCAATGAAAAGTTTATGGTTATCTCTTAATTTCAGTTTTTGTTTGTGTTTGACATAGGAGAGTGTAGTTGAATTGAAATGGAAAGGCATTCTTCTCTTTCTAAAAGTTATAGTTTACTCTGTAAAATGAAGTACATTTGACCAATGCCAGCTTCTATTTGTTTTTAACCTATAATCTTTGAAGCATGATTCATGTTATTTCTCTAAAAGCAGAAACTTATTAATATATTGCTTTTCTGTTGAAGTCCCTATTCCTTTTAAAATAAGGAATAAAAATCTTTATACTATTTAGTACCGTGAGGGCATTTTGGATAGTGGGGAAAATTGATATCTTGCTGACATTATAGTTGCTAATTTAATCTCTGATGACATTATTTAAAAGAAACATTTATAGGGTTTGGGGTTAGGCTTTGTTTTCAAGTCCACCCTAAATGTATGTTATATCTACATTATATCTTTGTCTGCCTTCTATAGAACATAAGGGTTTGGGAGTTCATTTGCATTTATGTTGTAGTTATTTCTATAACTCATCATTGTAGATTCCACTCCCACTTTTTCTTCTTCTAGTGGGACTTTCCTCTCCCCCTCCCACTCCCCCTCTCCATGCATTTGAAGAGTTTCTAGTGTTAGGCCCTAGTGTTAGATGCTGAGGGTAACATGGCCTTGTGCCCTAGAGAAAGGACCTCAGTCTGGTCATGGAATCACTTGTATATACAGAAAATTATAATACAGCAAGATAAATGCTAAAATAAAGATAGGAAAAATGGTCAGTAAAAGTAGTGAGGAGTCTACTTCTGCCAGGCCTAATGGGCAAAAGCTGGACTTTGAGGAAACAGAGCATTTTCCAGGCCAGAGAAGTAGGAGAAGGGCTCATATTTCTTTGATTAACTAGCTCTATTGCATATAAAGCTCTTTATATACTTTTCCCCCCTCACTATTTTATTTTTTCCTTTAATTGTTTTGCAGCATGCAAAGGTTGTCATCTCAGCGAGTGGTGAGGAATTAGGAAAGGCAGTTCAGCTTTTGTGTATTGGTATTTGGTATGAGATGAGGCAATAAAACAGTTGGGGAAATACCAGATGGTAATCCTACATGTGTCTTCTAACACCTCCCTATCAGTGGTTAAAGTCAGGATTCTGCTGTTAATAGATGTATGGTCTTGGGTAAGCCATTTTTTCTCTCCGGATTCCACTTTCCTCCACTTTAAAATGAGAGGTTTGTTGTAGATGGACACTGCCTGTTGGTAGTCTCTTACTAATTGCGGTAAAAAGGCAAAACAGTGACCAAATAAGTTTGGGAACACAGGGTTAAACAAAGTTAAATATATTTCTTTACTAGCCTTACATACATTATGGCATGTGGATTGAAGTCCTACACTTTTTAGCCTAGATTTGCCAGTAATATGTTTCCAGCTCCGTCCTTTTCCTAATGCTTTAGTGGAAAGAGCATGGGCTTTAGAATCATACATATCTGGGTTTGAATTCTGACTGCTACTTAGTAGCTCTGTGGCCTTAGGTAAGTTATTTAACCTCTCTTAACTAGTTTCTTCATATGTAAAGCAAGGATAACACCTTGTGGAGTTGTAAAGATTTAGTGACAACCCATGTGAACGTATCAAATATATCTGGCATATAATGGCTTAAAAAAGGTATAGTTTAAGTCCTACAAATTCCAGAGTTAGTATAGAATGTAATACTTAATAATATGTTATTTATATCCTGCATGCATCTGGTGTTTGAGGTGGGCTGTTTATGTGTTTCATATATACTTATATACTTTTACCCCAAGAAAACAAATGTTCTTGAGGGCTTGTTATTATCTTTTGCCACATAGCACTCAGCATTCTCCTGGAGACTCAAGTAAGTGCTTGATAAATACCTGACAATTTCATCAAAACAGTGGAATGAGGTGAGATGTAGTTATCTTACATCTTTCATAACCCTGGGTAGAAGTCAGTGAATTTATGAATATTAATTTTCTTTGGTTACTTAACGTTAAATGATTAAACTTTAAGTTTAAAATAACTACAATTGATTGTAAATGAATTGCCCTTTTAAGCAAACAGTACGAAGGGTTATAATAGAGTATTGTTTAATATTATAAATTATATTATTGGAATTCTAATGTTTTACATTTTGTTTTGTCTCTAAGCAAATGGTTATGAGCCTTAGAGTTTCTGAACTTCAAGTACTGTTGGGCTACGCTGGGAGAAACAAGCACGGACGCAAACACGAACTTCTCACAAAAGCCCTGCATTTGCTAAAGGCTGGCTGCAGTCCTGCTGTACAAATGAAAATCAAAGAACTCTATAGGCGGAGGTTCCCCCAGAAAATCATGACGCCCGCGGACTTGTCCATCCCCAACGTACATTCAGGTCCTATGCCAGCAACTTTGTCTCCATCTGCCATTCCACAGCTCAATTACGATGGTCACCCTGCATCATCACCGTTACTCCCTGTTTCTCTTCTGGGACCTAAACATGAACTGGAACTCCCACATCTTACATCAGCTCTTCACCCAGTCCATCCGGATATAAAACTTCAAAAATTACCATTTTATGATTTACTGGATGAACTGATAAAGCCCACCAGTCTAGGTAAGATTATTCTATAATGGTCATTTGGTTACTTCGGGGGTATACATTTCCATTTTATAGTATTTGAACCAGTTTATTATTCACAATGAAATTTACATTTGGTAATAGCATCCAGATGATAATAATAGTCTTTCAATTTTAGACAGAATCAAATATATGAAAGCTATCTTTTAGACAAAGAAAAAAGTACAGTCAAGTTTCTAGTCATGGTTGCTCACACAGTAAATATTTAAAAATTTCCAAGAATATAAACTTTTATACTTTAATATTTTAGATTGTTGATTAATATTTTACAATAACTTTTAACAAATTAAATAATTAAAACCTAGTAATTATTACCACCCTCTGAATTCAGTTCTTAATTTCTAAGTGTTGATGACATCTGAAACAAATAACTAACTAGTTTTGATTTTTTTTTTTTTTAAGATTTTTTTAAATTGGGGAATTGGGGGATGGAAACAGCACTGGGGAATTGGGGGAAGGGGAACAGAC